ACTTAAAGTATAGTTAGTCGCTTGGCTATGTTACCAAGTATTATGTCCCTTAACAGCACTACCATTTTATCTTAAGTCGGGTTCTACCCTCAAGGAGGTCCCGGGCAGGGCCACGCTCATACTCCTCACTTATCCCATTATATCTTTAGATCTATTGATTAGGACTGCTGCCTTCACTGGTATCCGTTTTCTTCTTCCAGAGGAATCAGGGGTTAGAATATATTCTTGTCACGGGCATTACTATTAGTATGTTTATTACAGGTTGCGGAATACTCAGGATTTTTAGGGCGACATCATACCTCTTATATTATATATATGTGTGTAGATTATTCAGTTGAATATACGAACTGGCATTACATCTCACTCATTTACGTTACATCATCATATCATTCTAGGTATCCACGATTTACTGCACAACCTCCTATTTACGACTAACCATTGCTTCACTATATATCCTGTTAGGCAGAACTGGATATCTACTTTTACATGATATACCACAATTCTTACTTATTTCGTTCCCCCTGTAGGTCTGCGCCAAATCCACCTTCTGAGTCTTACTGTATCTATGATTACTAGTTATCAGATTCGTCAAATTACACATTCTCATTCAATACCTTACCCGGCCTCCCTTAGTTAGTTCCATTACTGGCTGGTAGGACACCAGGAGCCAGATAGCTTATACTTTCTCAGGCCTCTATGCCTTACGTTAGTGGTCCCGCCAACATCCATCCTCATACTCGGAGGAATTACACCCATCGGCCCAACTCATAGCTAGCCGCCTTGCATGGTGGCATAGAGAGGGCCTCACCTGTCACTCCCATTCTATCTTATGCTTTATAAATCACTGAGAGGCCGACATCCCGCCACAAGTTCGGTGGCCACGTAATCCCCTCGGGCCAATGCATAGATAGAGCCTCTCAAGCCGCTTGGCATCTAGCAGGGCCTCACCTGTCACCAACTTGTTTAATAGTTTTGCCACTTGGCAATAGCTAGCAAGCCAGTATGTTGTAAGGGTACCACATACATACATACATATTTTTATATATAGGTACCGCTAACCGGGCTTTTAGTAGGGAGATGACGGCTTAGTATTAGAACTGTGGCTAGTATTGGAATCCTATCTGTTGTATAATCATATTGAGCAGATTTAACTAACTCTGGCATTTATAGGTGAAGTCTGTAGAATTACATATGTGTAAGTTACGTGGCTGATACTATTAGGTATTAGTAAGTTCTCTCTGTCCAATTACGCTGGATTAGTACATCACGTGATGAACTATATAAGGTACACACAGTAGCTTTGGTTATCAGTAACCGGTATAGGTCCATATTGGCAATACCAGTCAGGTAGATGCCGTTAGCTGATTAGATACAGTAGGATGTATATCTCTAGGTTGCCCTATGTAAGTGGGCTTCAGGTATTCAACATTTCATTCATGTTCATATAAATTCTAGACCCCACTTCGTTCTCCTTTACGTCTGGCACATACAGTCGAACTCTGACTTTTACAAAGGGCTGTCTCCTTGCACTGACTCTCACTTGAGTCCTCCACGTGCATTCAAGCATATGTTGCATATCTCAATATTCAGTGCATGTTTCGGTACGTTCAAGATATCCAACGGGATATTGATTATCTGTCTACATCATAAGTAAATTAGGATACAGATAACATACATTCCACGAAGATAGATGGGATATATCTTCTTATGATAGATATTTTGGTTAAGCCACTCCTTCTCCCCCCCACCCCTCCTCCCCTCCTTGTACATGGAAGCGGCTATGTTCATTCAGGGTGATTTTCACTTCTAGTACAATTTAGCTTCTCATATATAGGTAGATATATGCGTAGGTATATAGTGGGTTGGGGTGGGTGTACGCATTTAGGCATACACACTCATGCTCTGGTTCATTATTTCACACTGTTGTACTTACTTGGTAATATACAATTAAGTTAAAATGTCTATTTACTGTGTATACCTGTATTCAATATCTACTCAAATTGGCTGCTAGAGCACCCCCTCCCACCGACTAACTACCTCATGTAACAAGATGGCTCCTACATCTGGAGTAAAATCCTTGTAGGATGTGCATTAGATAAGAACCCTGGTTTACATGGTGCTAAACGTCTTCCTTACCAGTACACCAGCCTGCCTTTTGCAAATTTACCTGAGATCTGATACCATTGCTTGTAGAGTCAAAGTTATCAGTGACAACTCTTTTCAGCTGTGTCTGGTCAGGTGTCTGGTTCTTGGCCTATAAAAGCCACTTCCTGTCTCTGTACCTTTGCCAGATTATTGTGGTTCCTGTACTCTCTAATCAAGTGTGTTCCTGTTTCTCCTTCCTGTTGCTGAATTTGGACTGTTTTGACTTTGCTGCTTCTCCTTCCCACTGACCTCGGCTTGCCTCACTACGATTATCATCTTTCTGTTCCAGTCTCCCATCTCTGCTTAAGACCAGAAGGCCACTCAAGGCTCAGGGGCTCAACCACCTGGGTAACGAGTGGCTACCTCTGGCAGAAAACATTGCTGATCTGGCTACTGGACTCCAAAACTTTGTAACATCAATATCATTACACTGCCTCTCGGAACTCATGAGAGGAGATGCACTAATACCTCTGAAGGAACTATTGCAAACTGACAAGCTGTTAGAAATTGAACATATTGTTTTTTTTATACAATGTTTCTTTAATAAATTACCTCTTATCCATATTCAATGAACATGGTGTTCAGACTTTAGGACGCCATCTTGTCCTAGGTTAGTGGATTCCCCAAGTCAGGGAATTTCCCATGACTTGTGCACCCTTACGTTTTAGTTATGGCCTTGTATCTTTGTCAAGTTAAGGGAGGTACTAAATTGAATAAAAGAAAAATGTTTTCCTTTTTCATATATGAACTACGACAACCCTAAAATGACCTATTTAACAAATCAGCCCTGCCAGTATTGAAATATAAGACCACACATGAGAGGGGATGGACTGAGGCGGCAGCGTGCGGGAATGGGGCAGCGTACTCCACCCTATCCCTTCTCATCCTAACCCCACAACCCTTTCATCTCTCCTGTCAACCCCCACCCCTTTTTTCTTGTTTTTCTTTTATCTCCTTTTTCTCTACTCTACCGCTATTTTGCTTCCTTACCTTTCCCACTCACCATCTTCCCTTCCTATTTCCCTCTTCACCACTATTATCATATCATGTTTTACTAATTTGGAACATTACCCATACACATCTCAGACACATCAAGGTAGACAGGAGGTTCCATGGACTCAACACAATGCTTCTTCACTCTTTCCTCAGGCGCTCAGTCTATCGAAGGACTCAACTGTACACGACTTGGACCCACGCTAGGATCTGCCCTCTAAAGCCCTCGGGGTAGGGCTACATCCCACAGCAGTACATGATATGCCCCTGGGGACATTTTGAGGGACAACCTAAACCACCTCCCTAGCCCTAAGCTGTGCAGACAAGAAGACACAATATAAGCACGTCATAGATCAATAAGCCTTTGAGAATAAAATTGTATGGTTTCTATTTAATAATCCCCTCATATGCTATATTTTCACATGAAAGAGCCATACCACCCTGTTTTGAGATGCAAGTATGCTTATTGCACTATTGACACACAATGAGTGTGTATTTACTTGAGTGTGTATTTACTTAACAAAACTAATGTTAAAGTCTTCTTTCTCTGTCACCCTGTAACTGTATAACTTTTTGCCTCTTGACACGAAAAACAATAAACAAAGATTGACAAAAAAAATAAGAATAAAAAAAAGCATTCATAGACATTTCTGTACTAGTTGGCCTTATCTTAGGCCTAATTTGAGTAATTTATCCTGAGTTACCAGCTTTTTGGGTCCTGTGCCATTTTAAATATCTAATATGATGAACAATTCCCATACCTTAGATGGCAAGTGACACCCACAGCTTACTGTAACTGCATGTAATAAAAATAGAAACACAGCCGCAGTTCATTTATTGTTTTGCTATGCTAATTTCAGAGACAACAAAAATGACACACCTTTGACTTCACTTTGTAAAACAAACCTAACATATATTCAGATGCATGGTTAACTATATGAGAAGGAAAGAAGTCCACTTTTAACATTAACATACTACAGCTGATGGACAAAATAACAATAGCCGGAGTCTATAGGGTACCCTGTGGTGCACATTACTTTGCATAAAGACAAAGCTAAACCAAGTGTAAAACATTGCTATAGGCAGTGAAAGCTGATCATACAAGTCTTTAGAAGCAAGATGATGGGAAATGGAAAATACAACTTGCAACACAACATGTCAACAAGGCCGGTGCAAAGATTTTTAGCTACACAGGCCAAGATGCATTTTTCCGCCCCATTCCCCACCACCCACACCTGCAAAAGAAAGTGCATCTTCACCTTCCCTCTATGTGGCCATTTCTCCCTTAGTCCGTTTTGTGTGTCCCTCTCCACCATATCCCTTTGTGTGACTTTTCTTCCAAGCCATGTAGACATTGATATGCAGGCAGACACATATAGACACACAGGCAGAGACATACAGAAACAGTCACACAGAGACATACAGACACAGTCACAAGAAGATATACAGGCAGAGACATGCACACATACAGAGACATACAGGGATACAAAGACATGCAGACATACAGAGGCATACAGTCATACAGACATCATACAGACAAATACATACAGGCATATAGAAACATACATACAAAGACGTAAAGGCATGCAGACACATACATACAGACAGGGTCGGTGCAAGGATTTTTGCCGCCCTAGGCAAAAGTAAAGTTTGCCGCCCCCCCATGTGACATCACAATGCCCCACCCATATGATCTGCCATGTTAACTAACGCCAGTGCTGCAGTGCCGCCGTGTTTACATTTAAAGGCCTGCAGGGACAGGCTATAGACACCAGAACCACTACATTAAGCTGCAGTGGTTCTGGGGACTATAGTGTATCTTTAATGTGAGGTAAATTAGAGATTAGTGCCACGAATAATATACTAGATTGCCTACTTACAACCAGATGAGGATGATGATGGGCTCTAGCTGCAGTCTGTCTCCACTGGTCTGGTGTAGAACAGGCTTTCTGGAGGCGGTTTGTAACTGTGGTCACAAAAATCAATGTTCTGGGAGAAGGGGAAGCAGCTCCATTTTTTGGGGGCCCTTTACACAGCTCAAGGTCTGGGTCCCAGGGTCCACCTTCATGTTCCACCAATGAGTTTGTTCACAGGGGGTGGAATGTGTAGGGGATGTCCTGATGTGTGTAAGGAATGAATTGTGTGAATCTGTGTTTGTATGTGTAAGGGCTGCAAGGTGTGTTTGTGTATGTATGGGATGCAGTGTGTGCGTCTGTAAGGGATGCATTAAATGTGTGTAATGAATGCATTGTGTGTTTCTATGTGTGTAAGGGATGCATTGCTTGTGTCTGTGTGTGTAATGCATTGTGTGTTTTTCTGTGTGCAAGGGGTGCATTGTGTGTGTGTGTGTGATGGATGTCAATCTCCCCCCTGTCAATTTCCTTCTCCCCCTCCCTCTGTCAATTTCCTTCTCCCCCCCCTCTGTCAATTTCCTTTCCCCCTCCAATTTCCTTATCCTCCAGTTCCCTCTCTCTTATCTCTACAATTTCTCCCCTCTCCACTCTCTCTCTCTTTCTTTCTCCCCCTCTCTCTCTCTCCACTTTCTCCTCTTTCTTTTCTCTCCCTCTCTCTCCACTCCTCTCCTTTCTTTCTCCCTCCAATTTCTCCTCTTCTCCTCCCTCTCCAATTTCTTCTTCTCCCTCTCCACTTCTCTCTTTCTTTCTCCCTCTCTCTCCAGTTTCTTTCTCCCACTCTCCAAAGCTTCCTCTCCCCCACTCCAGTTTCCCTTTCTCTCTTTCTCTCCTCCAATTTCATTCCTTCACTCTCTCCAATTTCCTTCTTCTCCCTCCACCCTCTTCTTCCCAATCCACTTCCTTCTTCTCCCTCTCCAGTTTCTTTTCTCCCTCCTAGTTTCTCCCTCCAGTTCCTTATCTCTCTCACAATTTCTTTCCCCTCTCTCCACTTCTCTTTTCCCCTCCTCTCCAATTTCTCCTTCTCTCCCTCTCTCCACCCCTTCTCCCCCCCTCCACCCCTTCTTCTCCTCCTCTCCAATTTCTTTCTCTCCCCTCCAATTCCTTCTCTTCTTCCCCTCTCCAGTTTCTCTTCTCCCCACTCTCTAAGCTTCTTCTCCCCACTTCTCCAGTTTCTTTCTTTCTCCCTCCACTTTTCTTTTCTCCCTCTCTAGTTTCTCTCTCTTTCTTTTTCCAGTTTCCTTCTTTTTAGTTGGCTTTCTCTCTCCAATTTCTTCTTTCTCCTCTCGAATTTCCACCTCCTCCAATTTCCCTCTCCCCTCCAGTTTCCTTCTCCCTCTCCAGTTTCTCTTCTTCACCTCTCCAATTCTACTTCCTCCCCTCTCCAATTTCCTTTCCCCCCCCTCTCCAATTTCCTTCTGCCCCCCTCCCCCACCTCTGTTGTAGCGAGTGTGCACTTCCTGTTAGTCCGGCCGGGTACAGGAGACAGATGCTCCCTGTACCCGCGGACCATACAGAGCTCGGCCACGCTACAGTGAGGGAGTGACAGGAGGGAGCGCTGAGCGCTTCCCTCCTGTCAGCCCCTCTCCTCATGTTGCGCCCGGGCGGTGCGCCCTCATGGACGCACCAGCCCGGGCAAAGCTGCAGCCGCCTGAGGCTCTCTACTGAGCGCTTGGGCGGCTGCAGCATGAGGGAGGCCGATGCTTCTGGTGGCGCTCCTTCCCAAGGGGCGCCCTTGGCGGCTGCCTAGTCCGCCTAACAGGTAGCGCCGGCCCTGCATACAGACACATACATACAGAGACATACATACACATGCATACAGAGACATACATACATACATACAGAGAGATAAAGACATTCAGAGACATACATGTGTACAGAGTCATACATACATGCATACGGAGACATACATGCACACAGAGACATACATACATTCCCACAGAGACATATGTACATACAGGCACACAGAGGCATACATACATGCACACACACAGAAACATACATACATACGGTTACATGGAGACATACATACATACATACATACAGGCACACAGAGACATACACACATACATACATGCACACAGAGACATACATACATACATACATGCGCACACACCGAGATATACATACATACATGCACAAAGAGACATACATACATACACAGACAGTCACAATTACATACCTACTGTACATACAGGTCCTTGTGGTGCATGCTGACAGGTGACCGGCTCTGTGGAGCCCTGTCTTGCAGCCAAGCCTCATCACAGGGCACCAGCCACGCTGTGTGGTACACAGGGAGCAGGGATATGATGTCATTCATATCCCCTCCACACAGCTTGTGGCAGGCAACAGGGTAGGAGGCTCCTCGGACGGCAGTCAGCTGGGCGAGTGGTAAGAGGCTGAGCTGCGCTTCGGGGAGGCGCTTGCGCTCAGCCACACTTCATAAAGTAACCGGTTGGAGGGGATCGCTCCCCTCCAGCCGGACAGCATGACATTGTGCCCCCAGGGCCAGCCCTCAATGTCAAACGAAGACAATAGTATAGAATTAACTTATTGAGAAATCACAAAAGATGTTATTTGAATGTGTTTAATGGACTCTGGTCATCTCTATTTGTGCTGGATCTACATGCAAACATATATATATATATATATATATATACACACACATTCCCATGAAGAGATACGTATTCACCGAAACAGAGGGATAAGGCCCTGGGGAGATAGCGCAGCTAAGCGGACAAGGGCACATTTATGGGTGTGGGGATAAATACGTGGGAGTGATTTGGAAAGAATGTGTGGGTGGGATTATGTTCTATGTGACCACATGAACACATAATACCGCACTCACAATTGCTCAGGTACGTTTCTATAGGTATGTATTACCACACTAAGTAAATGCTTGAAAAAAAGCCCGATTTTTATTCAATTTACCATATCAAAAGATGAATAATCACTTAAAACAATGTAATTTCTACAATAGGTTATATACACCTCATTCCACCATAACCACTGTGGTTATCTTTGATACACCAAACACAAAATAAATATACCCCAATAAAGTCTGTCAATGTCAGTAGTACTAGTGCACTGTTTAGTTGAGAACCCTCTATACAATCAGGATCAGATTTTCTTTCTGGCAGGGAGACCAAATATATATCCATCCGGAAAAAAAAGTGAAGAAAGATGAAAAAAATGCAAAAGAGAAAAATGAAAAAAATACACAATATGCAAAAAAATGAAAAAAATAGAAAAAATATTATTTGTATTTACAGTCCCAGTGTGTACACACCAATTGGCAATTATGTATGTCCCATCAAAATAATATTTGGATAGATCTCACCAATATTCTGGCTGATATCTGTCCTGTAGAGGATGAAGTAATCAGAAGCTGTGGCTTATCCAGGTCTGCATGAATAAAAAGGACTCCTCTGTGTCCTCTACAGGATAATGATATTTCCCATTTCTGCCTGGTGTGTCCACCTGTATCTGCTGCCCAAGATAGGGGGTCTTCTTAGGTGTCGGTGGGGTGCTCGGGCTGCGCGCTCTGTACCTGATAGTCCCTTCAATGGCCCTTGGTGGTCTTACCTCAGTGCCACTTGGGATTCCGGCCAGCAAACAGCTTCCCTCCTGCCTGCCCCATTAGTATAGTTAGTCGCAGCTAGCCGGGGGTATGTCCTTGCCAATTAAGTTTGAGGGGTTACGTTTAAGGATATGGAATGAGATGAACAAGTTGTAAGGTCTCAACCTCCCCTGCACTAAAGGGTTAACCTTAGGTTACCTGGGGTATCGTGCCCATCTAGCGTGGATAAGGTAGGCTGGTGGCAGGCACTGGAAGGAAATGAGTTTATGCCGAGGGGGGAGGTGAGAGGAAGTGGACTTAAGGAGCATGGTCTGTTTATTGGCAAGGATGGTTGGGTTCACTGTATAACACTATGTGTTAAGTTATGTATATGTATATATGTTAAGTTATGGTTATTTATGTTTAACGTTTTGGTTACAGAAAAGAAGAGAAAATTATTAAATAAATGATGGATGTATTATGCAGTATTATATCATATGTTATAATAAATGCTGTGGCCTGTTTCATCCATACTACGTTGTCTGTCATTATTTTGCAGGGTTGAATTGGGTTAGTTTATGTATCATGCTGCATCGCGATTCCCCACTACGTACATACATGCATTGTAGACATATATATTATATTAATTTCAAAGGGGCTTTCATAAAAGGTTAGTATGAAACACTCTGGAACTTTTCATTTGATCGTGACTGTGCCAAGGTTCCATTGATCTCTATGTGGGTATCACTTGGTCCCTGACCACCATACACGAGGTGTGAGGTTTGAGAGCACTCCCTTCCCCAGAGGTCTGGGATACCCTTTTGTGAGACTGGGACTAAGCCGCCACATGCAGTCAACTCCTCAGCGCATGAGAGAAAAACCATGATCCGTTAAAACTTTAACATGCTGTAATTCGGGCGGGGATTCTGCGAACAGCGTGGTATTTGAACAGCAAGACCGCTAAGTGACTAGGTTTCCAGGCATATATATTGTTGGCACACAGTCCAGAGAAAGGGGATTCTGTGACTCTAGGCCTTCAAGGACACATCAGGGAACTAACTGTGTTAGCTGGGGGATAAACTAAGTTCCCAGAGCGACTGTACATCACTTGGTATGGAAAAGGGAGGGAGTCTCGAAATTGGTGTGTATAAATAGCTGTGAAGAGCAATAAACATTCTACCCTATGCATTCAGACTTCTCCAATGTATGGCCAAAAGCTATATTATATGCTTTACAGGAAAGAAAGTCTCCTGAGCTATAATCACTGCAACCTGGTCTGGTAGAAAAGACTACAAGAGACCCCAGCCATGCTTTGGCGACTGAGTCTGAAGTGCCCCAAAGGAAGCATCTTTAACCCCTGCAAAACAATCATATGTTTTAAACATTTTCATTAAAAAATATTTTAATTTGAATTAAAACCATTTTTCAATATTTTACACAAAATGTGATTTTTGTTTTCTATTCGAATAATGTAGAGGTAAGTAAAAAGCTTGCTTGAGCAAGTGTTTGTAAAAGTTTGTAAAGAGAAAGGCACCATTTGATGAGTTTAAAACACTTTCATTTCAAAATAATTGAATTTGCATGAAAACCATTTTTTGAATAATTAAGTGAAATGGGATTTTTAAAATGTTAGTTTTCTATTCGAATGATATAGAGGTAAGTAAAAAGACAGTGTCTCACTGTTTTCACCAGGCTGCTCTACATTGTCTATTCACAGGTGCTGTCCCACTACTGATCAACACGGGGGATTTGACCTGCTCTGTTCCCAACCTGGGCCAGTTCACCCCTCCTTAGACCAACCTGGTAGCTCCAAGCTCCCTCAGAGTCACCATATTGGTGCTGAACTTAGTGCGGACACCCGATTGACATAGCTCATGGCAGAACAGAACTCCTGAACTCAAGTGATCCAACAGCCTCAACCTCCCAGTAATTGCGATCACAGGCACACGCCACTGCACCCAGCGAGGTTTTTGAAGCTGTTCAGTGTAATATGAAACTTCCCAATCTGATGTCAGCAGTCACTGTGTTATAGCTAACCAGCGCCACCACCTGGACATTTTTATTAAGGCATTTTAAAAGAAAGCCAAATCGGCTTTATGCTCGCTTGTGAAAGTAAACCCAGCAGAAGTGCAGCCCATCTCGATGTTGTATTTTGAAAGCCTAACGATTCATGACAATTTAGAAGTATAAGAAAAAATAGGGTATTAATGCAAAGTGACAGCCTCACCGGGACGTGCCTCCGTTTAAAGCACCTTCCTTTTCAGATTGAAAGACTGACAGGAATGAGATCGCACTGTTTCCCCAGTGTTCCTCGAGCACTGTTAGTTTTTTTGTTTTGTTTTTTAAATAGGAAGCAGTTTTAACCTGTTCAACACAATACATCTTAGTTGTCAAGGACATCAATTCCGCACTTTTGAATTCCACGAGATTTAGTTGTTTTGGCTTTTTGGTTAAATAATATCTGGATAGTTTTAGGGCATGTGATGCTAGTTTGAGCATGTGTTAGTCACGGAGAAAATTGACAGATTTAGTAATTGAGTAATCTGGCTTTTAAAGATAAAAGAAAAAATAACTTAGAAGGAAAAAAAATGAAATTTCAAAAAGTATATATTTTTTTTCTGAATAGTTTCTGCAAGGTTCAGTTTAGTCTAGGCAGTGACAGTGAATGGCAGTAAGAGGGCCAAAACATAGATTGGGACGATACCTAAGTGAAAAGATGGATAAAGAAGAAAACGTGATTGGTTAGTTATATCGTCAATTAATTTGGGAATCAGGAAATTAGAGGGTCAGAGAGTCGAGTAGGGTTAGGATGTAGGTGACTAGGCAGTAAGTGAATTTATCTATGGTGAAAGAGAATTTTGATAAAATTACTACATGAAAAGTGCTGAAATAGCCCTCATGCAATCTCATGGGGTGGCTGTTCTCAAAAGAAGATATAGTTTGTTAGCCTAATTCAAAATGGTGGGCTGTTCAAATTCTCCGCATGACACACCTATTGCTTGAGCAAGTGTTTGTAAAGAGAAAGGCACCATTTGATGAGTTTAAAACACTTTCATTTCAAAATAATTGAATTTGCATGAAAACCATTTTTTGAATAATTAAGTGAAATGGGATTTTTAAAATTTTAGTTTTCTATTCGAATGATATAGAGGTAAGTAAAAAGTCAGTGTCTCACTGTTTTGACCAGGCTGCTCTACATTGTCTATTCACAGGTGCTGTCCCACTACTGATCAACATGGGGGATTTGACCTGCTCTGTTCCCAACCTGGGCCGGTTCACCCCTCCTTAGACCAACCTGGTAGCTCCAAGCTCTCTCAGAGTCACCATATTGGTGCTGAACTTAGTGCGGACACCCGATCGACATAGCTCATGGCAGAACAGAACTCCTGAACTCAAGTGATCCAACAGCCTCAGCCTCCCAGTAGTTGGGATCACAGGCACACACCACTGCACCCGGCAAGGTTTTTGAAGCTGTTCAGTGTAATATGAAACTTCCCAATCTGATGTCAGCAGTCACTGTGTTATAGCTAACCAGCGCCACCACCTGGACATTTTTATTAAGGCATTTTAAGAGAAAGCCAAATCGGCTTCATGCTCGCTTGTGAAAGTAAACCCAGCAGAAGTGCAGCCCATCTCGATGTTGTATTTTGAAAGCCTAACGATTCATGACAATTTAGAAGTATAAGAAAAAATAGGGTATTAATGCAAAGTGACAGCCTCACCGGGACGTGCCTCCGTTTAAAGCACGTTCCTTTTTAGATTGAAAGACTGAACGTAACGGTTGTCATGGGCCCGGCGGTCCTGGGGGGCCCGGACTGCTCAGGTCGTCCGGGCCCCACATTCAGTGGGTACATACCGGGTCGCAGGGGGTCCTGCGACCCGGTATGTACCCACAGGGCCAGCCTCTTCTCCTGGGGGCCCAGCAGCTCGTCACCTGAGGGCCCCCCCGAGGCTGGCCCTGCTGACACCCGGCGGCCGGCGCGCGAGGGAGCACTCTGTGAGTGCTTCCTCTTCAGCTCCCTCGTGCACCGTACTGATGCCGGAGCCGGAAGATGAC